AGCCCGTATTTCTATAAGCGGAAGCGAGCTTCGGGAAAAACTTTCAAGTTGGTTTTTAAGGAGATCTTTGGAAAAGCAGATTAGAACTCCTGAAAGTCTCATAGAAATGTAGTCGTTTTTTTATATGGGTATAAAGCTAGAAGTGTTCTCTAAAAAATGGGAGTCAAGCAAGACCTAGATTTTCTACGGCTCTGGCATTGTACCGGATTTCCTACGAGTCCCAGGACTGGCACCTGGTGACTCTTTGTAGCCTTGAAAGCCAATGGACTATAGATAATCGATCATGCTGAGTCTAGTGGCAATATTTGCTTGTAGAAAAAATTTAAAAGTCTATCGAAAAAGGGGGTTTTAGGGTTCTAGGGTTTTCAGAGAGTTACCGGAAACTGGTTGACTGAGACTTTCGTCAATTGGCCAAAGTTTTGTGTGATTTTCGTCAACTGACTAAATGCCGCTCTACTTGGACCACTGATGAGGCTGTAGCTGTACTTTTGTCGTGGCATACAGATCTTCAACAAAGTCGAAAAAGGTACTTTTTTCAGGCAAATTTCTCATCAGTGATCGAAGTAAGGCGAATTTTGGTCAGCTGACGAAAGTCACATGAAACTTTGGTCAATTGAAGAGAGTCAGGCAAAACTTTGGTCAATGACGAAGGTATAGGTGATGAAAGTCTCAGTTGACCAGTTTCCGTTTCCCCTTTTCAGACTGTTTTCACCTAATATTAAGAAATTCACTATTCACTCAAAATACATCAGAACGAGTTCAAAACTTCAGGATATAATCAATTCTGTCCGCTAAACGTGCTTATAAGATCGAAAAAATCGAAAATCATATTTTTATTAATGGCTTTTCCAGAGACCCTTTCTGAAAGCGTTAGAGTTCTATAAAATCTCTTTCTGAACCTCCTGTAAATAGGATACAGAGTAGCCTAAATGCTTTACATACCGAAGTTTTGAACTCGTTCTGATGTATTTTGAATGAATAGTGAATTTTTTAATACTAGGTGAAAACAGTCTGAAAACCCTAGTTTTCGTAAAACTCCCTTTTTCGATAGACTTTTAAATTTTTTCTACAAGCAAATATTGCCACTAGACTCAGCATGATCGATTATCTAAGGAAAATCTAGGTCTTGCTTGACTCCCATTTTTTAGAGGACACTTCTAGCTATATACCCATGTAAAAAAACGACTACATTTCTATGAGACTTTCAGGAGTTCTAATCTGCTTTTCCAAAGATCTCCTTAAAAACCAACTTGAAAGTTTTTCCCGAAGCTCGCTTCCGCTTATAGAAATACGGGCTCAGGTCTCTAGTTTCTAAAACTGAAAACCGCACCTCTCTATCTATTACCTATCAAAAGTTATTCAAAAAGCAACCGATGTTCTTGTATTTTGGAGCGGATAGTAGTTACGAATAGTCAGTATACAATTTCAATAGAAAGATAATGAATTTAATATAGTGACCTTCATCAGCGACGGAAAGGTTTGTGTTTGTACTTTGTCTTCTTAATTAATTTTAATTTGTATAAAAACATGTATAGAGCGCACGAGTATAACACCAAAACAAATAAGTAAAACAATCTCGCCACGGATGCAAAGACCCAATTTTTCTCGAAAAATTTCTTTACTGTCTTTTTTTTGCTCGTTTTGTTCCTTCTGTTTTTGTCGACTCACATGCGTTGCACATATATAAGTCAATGTGATCAGGGAAAAGCTTGACAAATGAAAGAAAAGAAATACACACATTAATAAGAAGGTGAGTAGAAGATAAAAGGTTTTCTTTCTCAAAAGAGTGGAAAAGCTATAACGAAGAACAAGAGATTATATCGTCTTCATGCTGTGAAATTGAAGTAAAAATGAAGTTTTGGCTTCAAAATTACAGACAACATAATCCTCTTTTTTTTCCCGGTTTTAAAGTGTTAAAAAAATTTATTTTTATTTTTATAGGTTCTATTGTGTTTAAATATGTAATTCTATTTCTTTTCTTTTTAATAAAAATTAAGATTTTATTAGACAATGAGACAATAATTGATAACAACACGAAAAACGTAGTGATGTCAGTTATCAGCATCAATCGAAATTAACAAAATGAACGGTTTTGTACATGATCCAGATGAGATAAAGCACATAAAAATCCTAACTAAAACTGACTCAACGGGAGATAATAACAATGAAATTTATTATACAAAACAAAAGCGTCGAAAACTAATTCTTCATTTTGATAATCGAAATACACTACAAGTATGTACTCATCGCCTATTTTTGATGAACGAACTTTAAACACTTTAATTAGTCGTACATAGTTTGAACTGAAATTCATCTCAGATTTCATAACTTTTTTGTATCAGCTATTTGCATGCCCATACTGAAGTACTTTATTTGGACCTTTTTTCTATTACTATGTATAAATTTCTCGAATATGACAACAAGTTCAAATAGACTCGTCGTACATAACTATTGTCAATAAGTAACGAGACAGTTATATCATATGGTTTTTGCAGCTGAATGAAGTCTGATAGACAAAGATTAAGAAGAAAAATACAATTCAAAATAAAATCCAGTGCAATTGTTTTGCTCGACCAGTATTGTATCTCTGACGTACGAAGCACAATTTAATTACAGATATTCTTCTAAATGAATAAAGTTCTTACGGAAAGTATTACTCTTAACGAGTAGTCAACAACCGACCTTTTATGAGTTTTTTAGATGCCTATTAAATAGTTGTAGACTACTCGTTAAGAGTAATACTTTTCGTAAGAACTTTATTCATTTAGAAGAATATCTGTAATTAAATTGTGCTTCGTACGTCAGAGATACCATACTGGTCGAGCAAACCAGTTTCACTGGATTTTATTTTCAATTATATTTTTCTCCTTAATGCTTGTCTATCAAATTTCACTCAGCTGCAAGAACGATGTACAGTTAATGGTATTATTGTTGGTTTTTTCTGTCGTAGGTCGCTAACACTGTCTCTTCAACAACAATCGAACAAGGTGTGTGCTGACTATTTATCGTCACATACTGTACTAATCGTACCCTATCTATTCTAGGTGTAAATAACTTTTTGACGGGTGTTTTATGGGGTCAAGAAGTCGATGGAAAATGGGAATGGATTTCCAACGAACCATCATTACGTAAACCAGAAGCGTACCCGAATAGTATCACTTATTTCAAATATTTAGAAAATCAAGTTGTTAAAGTTGCAATCGACCGAAAAATGTTACGTGAAAAAACTGGTAATTTTGTTAATCATGAAGGTGTACGGTTTAAACCTTATTATGACAAATTAATCAGATTATTACTTTATAATGAAAAAACGTCGGAAAAACGCTTTCATGAAGATGAAATTATCGAGAAAGAAAAAACTTTAGAGACTGAAAAAGAGAAGGAAGATGAAATAGAAATACGACCTCAACATCAATCTATTTTATATGATGAAGCCCTACCAGTGAATAGTTATCGAAGTGCTGATGGAACACTGTATCATTACATACTACCAGCCTTTTTTCGTCTGATTCGGTATTTACAACGTACGAATCGAGAATATGCTATTATATTGCGAACAATGGGTGATGACAGTATCAATTTTTTACAAAATGCACAAAATGTCTTATCAAACCAACATCCCAATTTTTTGTTTGAAAAATTGACTAATGTGAACTTAAATCCTGGTAGAATTAGACGAACAGGAAAATTGAGAAAAGAGGATGAAAAAATTACGTTAGAATTACCAAATCCCCATGATCAAGATGAATTATTATCGATTGATGATGAAGTTGAAATAAGTCATAGATTGAAACAATTCGATGGTATTCATGCGATCAAAGATGATTTTAATTATTGGTGTGACAATGACTATTTATATTCATCAAGCAAACCGATTTGGTTTGATCCTGAGAAAGATATTGATGTCCATGATATATTATTCGATGATAATTTTCGTGTTATTGATCCAAATGATTCAGTTGTTGATATTCGATTGATGAATGAAAATACGCAACGATATAAAACAGTTTCATTTGAACACTATTCACAATTGGAAAATGTCTTTGCTGTACAAGCAGATCTAATGGAAATATTAGAAAATGAAAATTATTATATTGAAAAAGTTGAAGAATGTGAACGAAATTTGGCTGATTTATTAAGTAATACTGAAATTTTGAATCGAATGCGATATTGACAGTAAAATTTATACCGTGGTGTTTTGTTAAATATGACTGATCACAACTTACTCTCAATCCGTATAAAAAGGTTTTATAAATAATACTTTTTCATCTGTGATACAATAAAAAATCAAAATCTTTTTTGTTATTGTTCAATCGACTTTTTTTCTGACGAATTTTGTTCATATAGTTTTTCACTGTTTTTCAATTTTGAGAAATCATTGTTTTGTCAGATAGAACATTCTTTATTTTTTCTACAGAAAACAAATGAACAGCCGTCCTAATTCGTACAATAAAAAAAACAATCGCAATAGTCTTTCATCTGATAGTTCGAGCACTTTCATTTACTCATCCTTTTTGTATTTCTCAATATGTACATATTATTCATATCTAGTTTTATTTTGAACATGCACTCGAGCACTGAAAATACACTCTAAGATTCAATTATTTCATCCTCAAAATGACTGTGTTATTGTTTACATACATCTCTTTAACCTTTAAGAGCCATTAAAAATAAGCCACGACCTTTTACAGTATAATGTTACTCAATCGATTATCTCAGATTTCTTCCAACATAGTAGACTTCTTTAAAGCAAACATTTTCATGAATTTTGGCGAAAACCGCAGATTCTAAAGTTGTTGCGTTGCTGAGATATTCAATTTTTGCAAAGAGCCCGAAAATGCACAAATTCCGGCATCAAAGGAAACTGTCAATGAAAACTACGTACAACTCCGTAACGACACATTACTTAGACTTAAGAATTCTATCATAACTACTAGATAGTGTCTAATACAAATTCACACAACCGCGAGCTCTAGACAT